TCTATTTATTTGGCACATTTGTGTTTTGTTATTTAAACTAGCATGAAATGCTTGCATATTGGAATTATTATTATTTTTTTCCTTGTGAAGAGTGAGGGTAAATCCACAGTGTTGCTTCTGTGTTGTTATTTATAAACTATTTATTACAGGTTACTGTAACCTGCAGGACTGTGGACGGCGTGCTTGCTTTTCTTATAGGGCTCTGTTGTGCAAACCTCTTTACCACAGGCCAGCGTAATGTGAGATATTTAGGATCATTTCCAGCTTATCCATCCTGTCACGGATGACCAAGGGCAAACTGTGTTCCCAGATCAGCACTTACTCTAGAAAGGTTGATCAGTGTACAGCAGTTCTGTTTTAAACACTAGAGACTCTTAGTTGTGTTGTTCACTGCATATAAATAAGTGCAGTCTTTTTCAGAGTAGAAAACTGCAAAACGTCAGCAAATTGTGTACACTCCAACTAACACTAAAGGACAAGATATATATATATATATATATATATATATATATATATATATATATATATATATATATATATATATATATATATATATATAAACTTCTGTAAAGTAAACAAGTACACAGATGAGTAATTTCCTAATATGTTCACTTAATGGTTAATTTGTGGCTTGAATGTGATTTAACAAAATGTCCTCTATCTTGTCTCAGAGTATTCACTTCGACGTAATATTACATGTTAAAGTTGCACGCTCCTTCCCTAGTTTGCATGTAGAGATCTCGCACACTGGGCTAGTTAAAGAAGTTTGAAGATAATGTTCAATTTTAATGTGCAGCTGCTGCAGCCCTGTTTTCTCATTTGATGAACAGTTTTGTGTTTGTAACTAACTCATGTTTAACTGTAGTTGGCTTTGTAGCTCTCTCTGCACTGTACATTTGCATTAAACTGAAGTTGGACTGTATCCCGTTACATGACTGTTTGCATTTCATTAAAAGGGGTCAATCAAAAAGAGATGAAAATGATGTCGTTTGCTTTTCCAAGCTATACGTTAGAATGGAGATTAAGAGAACCAGAGAATATCTGAATATCTAAATATTTGATTTTTTTTTTTTTAACTTACCACAAATGAAGACTTGTTTGTAAGTAGAATCATCGATTTTCCAAGAGAGTGTAGAATATTTGAGTTATCTAAGAATAAAGTATAATATCACAATATAAGCTGTGGACTGTTTATTTTCACCTGAAAGTGCTGATGGCCAGAATTACAACTACTACCCTGTCACATTTTCCTCATTTTTCTTTATTTCCTCTGTTTTTGTTTTTTTTTTTAATCTCATGGATGTTTTTGTGTCAGTAAGCAGATCATATCTGTGAACCATATATCCTCTTTTCATTTTAGCTCTACCATTTTGGCCCCGAGTGGGCAGCAGAACTCTTGACCCAGCCTTATACTGTAATTGATATGATGCTGATGTGTATAAAACCTCAACAATGCTGCTACGCCTGATACACTCATACCAGCACCACACACACTACAGTGTCAGTGTATCTGACTGTGATGTGCTGAGAATAGCCCACCACCTAAATAATATCTGACTAATGGCGGTTCCTTTCCACTGATGGGTGGAGTACAGAGGGCTAATAATTTGTCCAAATTGTCCATAGCAACACACATATATATTGTGGCACCGAAGGAGAGAGGAAAAGTCAATTTTGCAAGAATTTGCAAAAATAACTATGGAATTTCATCAGATCTACAGTCACATGATCACACACCAGCGTGTCAAGCATTTTTCCATTTCGGCTAAATCTGAAGCCATAGCCTCTCAGGCCTTTCCTTACCAGTTACCAGCTTTCATAAAATAATAAAACTGGTGAGAGACTAATATTAATAAATGAATAGATTAATTTGTTCATCAGTCAGTTTGTCATGGGACTGATTCATATTTTCATAGATTAATGGATCAGGAATGACTCAGTTTGTAGTCATAATCCAATCCATGAAAATGGGCCTCTATTTTACAGGACAAACCTAATAATAATAATAATAATAATGCTATATCTGCAATATATAGTATATATATATATACACTGTCCATGATGACGACATGATTTGCCAAGGTTAGAGTGGAAGAACTAAAGTGGCCTGTATAGACCTTGACCTCTGACCTCAACCCCACTGAACACCTTCGAGATAAATTGGAAGGCCGACTATGCACCAGACCTCCTTGCCTTGTTCTTGTGGCTGAATGAGCACAAATCCCCACAGTCATGCTCCAAAATCTAGTGGAAAGCCTTCCCAGAAGAGTGGAGGTTATTATAACAGCAAAGGGGGACTAATTCTGGTATGGGATGGTGAAAAATTGCATATGAGTGTGATGGCCAGGTGTCCACAAACTTTGGGCCATGTAGTGTATGTTGACCTCACTAAAATTTTTTATCCTGGTTATGGCCTTGACATGTTCCCAACCCTGGTCCTGGAGTAACCTCTGACCTGCACATTTTAGTGTTTTCCCTTCTTCCAATGCACCTGATTGAACTAATCAGCTATTTAACAGCCCTTCCTGACTTGAGGTGGTGTGTTAGAGCAGGGAAAACACTAACAAGTGCAGGACAGCAGGTTCTCCTGGACCAGGGTTGGGAACCCGTACACTAATGTTAGACCATCCCTATACAATCACGTTACTGTACTGCTAAAATCCTATCTGGCCTACAGGGACGTTCATTTGTAACTTTTACACTATATGTGGACACCCATGTGTGCTTTTTGAGAATCCCATTCTAAAACCATGGCCATTAATATGGAATTTGTCCCCCCTTTGCTATAACCTCCACTCTTCTGGGAAGGCTTTCCACTAGATTTTGGAGTGTGGCTGTGGGGATTTGTGATCATTCAGCTACAAGAGCATTAGTGAGATCAGGCACTGATGTTGGGTGAGGAGGTCTGGGGTGCAGTCGGTGTTCCAGTTCATCCCAAAGGTGTTCAGTGGGGTTGAGGTCAGGGCTCTGTGCAGGACACTCGAGTTCTTCCACTCCAACCTTCTCAAACCATGTCTTCATGGATCTCGCCTTTGCATACAAGAACATTATCTTTATTCTGTGTTGTAAAAGTCTGTGGCAGGCCAACATATGATTGCAAGAGTCAGGCGTCCACAAACATTTGGCCATACAGCGCTTGTATTTACGTCAGTTCCGTTAGCACGTGAAGATTAGCGCAGTTTATAACAAGTGCACCATGCGCCTTTAAGATTACGGCGGTGAAATGCGCATGCGCAGTTGCCACTTCGATGTTAAAGGTTGTTAACGTTATTGCTTACATTTTCTGAGTTTTTGCGTGCTTGGTTGAAAAAAGTGCGTTTTTTATATATAAAAAAATTACCATTAGGTAATTCTACAAAAGGTTACTTAAAAAGAAAATGTCAGTTTTCTCCGAATCGGCTTTGGAGAAAAAATTGGCAGAACTTAGCAACTCGCAGCAGAGTGTCCAGACCCTGTCTCTATGGTTAATCCACCACAGAAAACACTCGAAAACCATCGTCAAAGTGTGGTATAATGAGCTGAAAAAAGGTAAGAACACCACGGCGTTTACACACAGCACCACCATTTAACACGGGGAAGCTGCTGCTTTGGGTTTGTGCACTTTACTATCCAGAGCAACACAGCTGGCTAGCTACTTAGCACAGAACATGAGCCATTCATCAGTGTAAATAATAACAAGCAGTAACTAGCTAACTATTTAGCTACCCAGATTCAAAAACCAAAGCTTCTGTAAAGTGCTTCACCAGCTAACCAGCTAGACTGTCGAGTTAGGTAGCAGTGTATCCCTTTGACTAGTTAAAATGCTGTTAGCTGAATAACATGTGCAGTGTTTTGGTAGCAAACAGCATGAGCCAGTGTTTATCTTCCATGCCAAATGAACCATTTCTTGCAACGTTAGTCTTAGGTCAGACTAGTTGTAGTAAACCTAGTACTCAGGCCTGCCTGAGTGTGTCACATTAGCCTGCTAGATTAGAGTGCAATTTAAACCTAACTGTGATATTTGATAGCAATTTTTTTTTTTAAATCAGTTCTTTTATAGCACAAGAGGCATGCTGGTAAACAGATTGACTATGAACTGGCATCATAGCATGTCAAGTCAAGTCAAGTGGCTTTATTGTCATTTCAGCCATATACAGCTTATACAGTACACAGTGAAATGAAACAGCATTCCTCCAGGACCACGATGCTCCATAAAACAACACAGAAGTCCATAAAACAGCACAAAACTCCATCAAACAACACATTACCACATAAATTGCATGTGGAAACAGCACAAGACAGTATATCAACAATAAAACAGGACAAAATGCACAGTAAGAGACAGTGCAGCGCTGACCAGTACACACTTCTAGTGTGGAAGTGTCAGATATAACAGTAGTGCAAAAGAATAACAATATCATAAAAATGCTGTGGATGTAAATATAACATGCTGTTATATAGCAGATAAGCTTTAGTGAAGTGAAGTGAAGTGACGTTTGGCCAAGTACAGTGACCCATACTCGGAATTTGTGCTCTGCATTTAACCAATCCAAGTGCACACACACACACCCGGAGCAGTGGACAGCCTTTTTTGCTGTGGTGCCCGGGGGGCAGTTGGGTTTTCGGTGCCTTGCTCAAGGGTCTCACCTCAGTCGTGGTATTGAGGGTGGCAGAGCGCGCTGGTCATTCACTCCCCCCACCTACAATCCCTGCCGGACCTGAGACTCGCACCCACGACCTTCAGGTTCACCTTCGGGTTACAAGTACGACTCTGTAACCATCATATGTGGACATAGCAGTTATTGGAGTAGCAGCCAGGTAGAGAGTATAGTTGTTGTTGTTGTTGTTCTTTTGGATGCTCCCGTTAAGGGTCACTACAGCGGATGGTTGGTCCACATATTTGATTTGGCACAGTTTTTATGCCGGAAGCCCTTCCTGAAGCGAACCTCCCCAGTTTTATCTGGGCTTGGGACCGGCACTGGGAGTGCACTGTCATGTGCAACCCCAGTGGTTGGGGTCCGTTCCCTGGCCGCGAGTCGAACCTCGGCCGCGGCAGTGAGAACGCCGAGGCCTAACCACTAGTCCAGGGACCTACAGGTAGAGAGTATAGTAGTGACAAGGAATTAGAAATAAATACAGTAGCAGCAAAAGTGCAGGTAGTAAATACAGAAATTAGCAAAAATTGCAAAGGGAGTGGGATGGTGTTCAGTTGCGTATATGTGTGCGTGTGTGTGTATGTGTCCACATGTGTGTTGTCAGTCCATTCTCTGAGTATTGAAGGGTCTGATGGCTTGGGGGAAGAAACTGTTACACAGTTTGCCCGTGACGGCCCGTATGCTTCGGTATCTTTTGCCAGATGGCAGGAGGGTGAAGAGTTTGTGTGTGAGGGGTGTGTGGGCTCATCCACAATGCTGATGCAGCGTGTGGTGTAAAGTGATTATACATAGTGAATAATATAAAACTGGAGATATTCCAGTTTAAAATAACAAACTAACCAAAATAAAGCTATTTTTGGCGATGTTCTTATTTTAATTTTATATTTGTCACTTCTGGGAAAAACTACTGAAATTATTTGATGATTCATCTCATACTATTCTTGTGTTCATCCAATTAAATGCTGCGTAGATGGTGTATGTCCCGCCCCCCCCGGGGGATGTACAGGAGCAGCTCGTTTGCAGCAAACATGGTACTTCGTTGTGTGTTTGGCTGTGTATCGTCCTGTGCACGATTCCCTATTTTCCAACCATTCTTTGGTTGAGGAAAAAAAAAATGGTTGGATTGGTTATCTGTTCTGCAAAGAGATCTGGAGGAATAGTGCAAAAAAAGTAGCTGTTTTTATACTGTGTGTCCTCTGTACAGTCATGTCATGTTTGTTTTATGTTCTTCTTACTGCTTCTTATAGAAGTGTTATTATTGTGCTTACATTTTGCCCTCAATCTCCCACACAGATAGATAGGTGATAAACTGGTTTCAGGGATCTGCTGCACGTGAGAGCAGATGAACTCGATTTCCATTCGGATTCTCACTGCCTGTTTATCAGCGCTGTTCTTGCTAGTAGTTGCAGAGAGGTTCACATTACACAATTCATCAAACATGCTTGAAAATATCAAAACCTTGGCCATTCTACCCCCACCCCCCGCCGGCTCTTAACGTCTCGTGCTGCCTTCTTGAGAATCAGTGAATGTTTGCACAACTTTATCTATTGAACCGACAATATTCTATTCCCGTTAGTATTTCTTTACACCTGACCTTCCCTCACAAATCAAACAGGAAATTAATAAATTACACGTGTCTGTTGTGTGTTAGATATAAACTGGTGTTATGTTTGTTTAAGAGGCCACTCGCACTGTGATTTAGCCTAAAATCTCAGTAGATCGTGACAGGCCCCCTACATGACATGAAAATTGCAGGTGGGGAAGCGTTAAATTCCTGCATTCCCAAGTGCATGTGTGTGAGACAGTGTGTGAGACAGTGTGTGAGACAGTGTGTGAGACAGTGTGTGAGACAGTGTGTGAGACAGTGTGTGAGACAGTGTGTGAGTTATATAACGCAACAGCCAAATTAAAAGATGAATTAGCTAGTTCTGTCTCAGTTGTGAATGGCCTGCTGATGCAGATTGAGGTTTATGTAGCGAAGAGATCTTTTTTTTCCCCCTGTGCTACGTTATTTAAACATATTTAAAATAATAGTTTTTATTATGTAACCGACATTTTGTGTTGTGTTTGTGTTGCATTAACAGGTTGTCGATAGTGCCATAAAAATGCTGCTGTTTGGATGCACCCAATTTGACCTGATCCTAGTGCAGAGTAATCCGAAGAACAGCCGACTCGCGTCTGTCATTCTGTAGTCGCACTTCAGTTGTGTCTAAAGCGAGGACGTGATGGTGTTTGACATAAGAGCTGAAAAAATAATCTGTAAAAATGTCCCCCGAAGTCGAACTCCGTTTCAGCTTGGGACACGTCAGCATTTTTGTGAAACCTTGAAGAACCATAAGCTAAGGCTGGAAAGTTTTTATTTATTTATTTTCTTTTCTCCAACATATCATAATCTGATTGAGGTCGTGAGTTGATTTACAGTATTTATTGATTTATTTGTAATGCTGAAAATATTTCAGAATGATTTCAGGCTTTATGATTTCATTACTGTAGCAATAAAGAAGAAATGACATGGGCTTATCTTTTCTAAGAACTTACCTCAGTTCTCAGTCCTCTCTTCACACTTCTGCAATTTTTTTTAATGAAAAATAGTAATAATAATTTTGTAGATCTCTGGGTGACACGTCAGTATTTGGAGTCAAACATTATATTAATTAACACGGACGCTTTTCAGAAGCATTTTTGGACATATACACACAGCTGATATGCACCCATTTTAACCAGTATTTCAATCTGTATGTGCTCTGTGACGTGTGTAAAACACGGGCCCGTGTGCCCTGCCTCTATTCACAGCCATAAAGCTTCATTGAAATCCCACAATTTCACTTTCTATATGCTGTGAACTTTATTTAAAAAGAGGGTAGTCTGGCCAAAATCATGTCAGTTCGAACTGATGACTTCTCTAAATCTTGAATCATAGAAAATATTCTCCATCTGTTGAGAGAGTTAAACAAAAGCAAAGGTGGACAAAAGTTAAATCCATTGTCTAGCCTGAAAGCTCAAGAGTGCTGCCCAGGCCCATGATTTCGTTACCCAGAGACCAACTGACTAGGCTGGAAAGTGGGAGCGAATGTAAAGTAATAACATATGGTGAGCTAGATAGATAAGTGCATTAATATACACTGAGAGGAACAAATGAGTTTATGATTATCATTTTCTTTTAACAGGGTTTTAGAAGGTGCACGCTTGAAGATTTTTGTTTTGCAAAAGTCTGTAAGAAGAAGCATACCCCCCCCCCCCCCCTTTTTTTTTTCTGATGTTAAACCTAAAAACGGAGAGCCAGGACGTGAAATCTGGGCCACTGATTTGTCCACCCCTGCATGGTGGAAGGGCAGATGGTGGCAGGGATGTGGGATGAGGATAGAAAATTAGAAGGTTTGGACACTTTAGCAACAGAAGCAGATATGGCACTTCTTGAGGAGAAGATATCACTATTCAACTGCAGACGAGGTTCTCTGAAAACATTGATATATATTTGATAATATTATCTTTAAAGTCTTAAGAAAAGCACTAGTCAGGGAAGGGTAGAGGCGTTTGTTTACAACACTGATGAAAGTTTTGGTCTATTACCGATAAACTAGCTTATGGTAGCTATTGTTTAAAAAAAAGCAATAACGTTCTACTGTTAAAATAATATTTCTGCTTCTTGCAGAATCGTTGTTTGATGTATTGGAAGCACAAGTCATCTGAAATTTCCGATAGTGCACAGTGTGAAAACTTTTATTCCTAATCAACAGCTGATTCGTCTGTGAGCCGTGGCCCGAACAGTAGCTGTGGTTTTTACTTCTGAAAGTGGCTTCTCAAAAGCGCTGAAAGACCTTCATCTGCAATGAAAATGCTTTTTGTTTCCTTAGGAGATTTTACATCAATCAGATATTGCAGGAGAGCTATGAATAGATTTGTGATGAACTTCATTTTGGCTGTTTTCCTCCGTGTTTCCACATACCTGCATTTTGTGCATGATAATTAATTTGCCTAGTGTTTGTCAGCCTGGTCCTGCCCTGACCGAAGTGTGTAGTGTAGCAGGCACCAAGCTTTGGTTGCTCACCGGACACTTTAAAAGGAACACCTGTACTCGTGCTCATTCAAATTAGCTAATCAGCCGAACAGCCAATCAGCAGCGCAGTGCATAAGATCATGCACATACAGGTCAAGAGCTTCAGTTAATGTTCACATCAAACATCAGAATGAGGGAAATTGTGATCTGAGTGACTTTGGCTGTTGGTGCCAAACGGGCCGGTTGAGTAATTCCATGAATGAGCAGGTGTTCCTGTTAAAGTGGCCAGTGAGTGTACACATGGAAAATCGAAGTACAAAGTAGAATAGTTTTATTCTTTTTCTGGTTGTTAAACGTAGTCACCTTCTGGGCAACTATGAATAAAAAACTACTAGCCCATGCATGAAATCTACTCCTGGGCTACTGAATTGTCCACCTGAAAAGCTACAGGAGATGAATTACAATTAGTTTGTTCTTTGTCAGAAAGCTTTAATGCAGATTAGAGCCCATAAGAAACGTATAGATAATGACATTTTGTTCTTT